TCTGGTCTTGGCCATTGTGGAGAGGTTGGAGTCTGTTTGATTGAGTGTGTGGACAGGTGTCTTTTATACAGGTAACGAGTTCAAACAGGTGCAGTTAATACAGGTAATAGGTGGAGAACAGGAGGGCTTCTTAAAGAAAAACTAACAGGTCTGTGAGAGCCGGAATTCTTACTGGTTGGTGGGTGATCAAATACTTATGTCATGCAATAAAATGCAAATTAATTACTTAAAAATCATACAATGTGATTTTCTGGATTTTTGTTTTAGATTCCGTCTCTCACAGTTGAAGTGTACCTATGATAAAAATTACATGCTTTGTAAGTAGGAAAACCTGCAAAATCGGCAGTGTATCAAATACTTGTTCTCCCCACTGTAACATATTTATTTCTGAACGTTCCGAAACATTGTGTCCTGCTGAACACACCCCAGGTAAAAAATATGGACATTGTAGGGTGGAGTCAGTAGATTTAAAAGAATGGGTTATTAATTCAAATAAGAGATAATTGTTTTAGATACATTCAATAAAATATAATAAATGAATATTGCTGTATCGAATAAACCACCGGATGGCAGTATAGACTTGTGGAAGAGAAATCCATTTTGGTCTCAGAAAGGGTTTCCACTAGCTTCTATAGCCACAAAGTCAGATTCCACAGCCACAAAGTCAAAATTGGCTACAAAAATTTGCTTTTTCGTCTTAATTTAAGGTTAGGGTTAGGCATAAGGTTAGAAGTGTGGTTAAGGTTAGGGTTAGGTTTAAAATCCAATTTAAGATAAATTGTAGAAATGTGCGGGGTTTAGAAGCTAGTGATGACCCTCTGAAAGGGATAATAACTTTTGTTCAGTTCAAAATGCAGTTTTTCTTGACCTTTTTCCCAGTTACAATATTATTAATGCCTAATACTTTTCTAAACTGTTCACAGAATGGAAAGACATTGTGGAAAATTGAAAAAGCATTTGCGGAAATTGGTTGCACTGGAAATAAGTAATTCAGCACATTACATGTTGCATTTATATTTTAGTTCAGTGTAGCTTTGATTGTTGTCTGTGTTCTATGTTCTGTGTTTGTTTTGTTTTTATTATTCTTTTTTAAATGTAGCGCCTTGGGTGTGAGAAAAGCGCTTTACAAATTAAATGAAATATGTGTTAGACCCTAGTCAGCATGTGGCATGTGGAACGTCTCCTCTCTGGACAAAGGAAGAGATTGATTAGTTCTGATAATGACGAACTGTGTCCTCTTCTGACTCCTTTGTCTCACTGGCAGCTCCAATGAAGTAGGAGGAGGTAGGCTACATGTAAGTAAGACCAGTCAGCCATTAATCAATCAATAAACCATGTTATGAGGACAGCTAAAAGTACTGTTTAAATTACCTAAACTGGATCAATTTAACAGCTCTACTATAATCTGAAATAGGGTCCTTTACTTAGCAAATTACTCAACTCTGACCTCAAGTGGGTGTTGATAGAATTACAGTATTTTATACATTAGCGTCCCCTATAACATCTCATGTTATGAACCAAGGACTGGGAGAGAGCTGACCCCAGAAACGACGGGGTGCTGCTGAAGTCGGTGTCCACCAGGGTGCAGAACAACAGGGCGGCATCACCAGAGACTGAAAAGGCTCACTCAAACACTCATCCATCGTCCTTATAGTGTGTGCACTTCAGCCTCTGTTCTGTCTTTTTTTTGTTTACCTGTACTTTATTCGTTCACTTTACATTTAATAAAGGATGAAGTGTGATGAACTGGACAATTGTCTTCTTATCTATAGTTGTTTAATATAATGGTGGATATGTTAGAAACCTCTATGTTCATGAAGATCATTAGTAATATTTCATTACGGATCCAGATCATATTCAGATGTTTGTGTGCGTGCGTGCCTGCGTGCATCTGCATACTGTATGTGTAATCTTACCTAGTGAATGCGTGTGCATGTGTGCTCGTGTGTGTGTTGAATTAAAAGTGTGTGCTTGACGGGTAAGATGAGTCTGGAGGCTGTTAACTTTAAAGGGAAATCATGAAATCATCTATTTTTCTAAAGACTATTTTCTCACGAGGGTGACTGTTGTCGATGTGTGCAGAGTTTGCCTGGTTCAAGCCCAGGTTGGGGCGAGGAGAGGGATGGAAGCAATACTGTTACTTTGGTGCCGTGACCCGGATCACTGGTTGCTGTGGAGAAGGAGGAGGTCAAATGGGGATTAGTGTAACTGGTGTGGAATGTCTAGCTAGTAGCGTTTCAATTGGTGATGTCACTTGCTCTGAGACCTTGATTTGTGGTATTTTGGTATTTTATTAGGATCCCCATTAGCTGTTGCTAAAGCAGCAGCTACTCTTCCTTGGGTCCACACAAAACATGAAACATTACATAATACAGAACATTAATAGACAAGAACAGCTCAAGGACAGAACTACATCAATTTTAAAAAGGCACACGTAGCCTACATATCAATACATACACACAAACTATCTAGGTCAAATAGGGGAGAGGTGTTGTGCCGTGAGGTGTTGCTTTATCTGTTTTTTGTAAACAGGTTTGCTGCTAATTTGAGCAATATGAGATGGAAGGGAGTTCCATGCAATAATGGCTCTATATAATACTGTACACTTTCTTGAATTTGCTCTGGATTTGGGGACTGTGAAAAGACCCCTGGTGGCATGTCTGGTGGGGTAAGTGTGTGTCAGAGCTGTGTGTAAATTGACTATGCAAACAATTTGGAATTTTCAACACAATGTTTCTTATAAAAATAAGAAGTGATGCAGTCAGTCTCAACTCATGGCCAAGATAGACTGGCATGCATAGTATTTATATTAGCCCTCTGATTACAATAAAGAGCAAGACGTGCCACTCTGTTCTGGGCCAGCTGCAGCTTAACTAGGTATTTCCTTGCAGCACTCAACCACACAACTGGACATTAATCAAGGTAAGACAAAACTAGAGCCTGCAGGACTTGCTTTTTGGAGTGTGGTGTCAAAAAAGCAGAGCATCTCTTTATTACGGAAAGACCTCTCCCAATATTTACAACCGAGTGCATTCGGAAAGTATTCAGACCCCTTGACTTTTTCCACATTTTGTTACGTTACAGCCTTATTATAAAATGTATTAAATAAAAAAATGTCCTCATCAATCTAAACACAATACTCAATAATAACAAAGCGAAAAAAACAAAAACAGAAATACCTTATTTACATAAGTATTCAGACCCTTTGCTATGAGCCTTGAAATTAAGCTCAAGTGCATCCTGTTTCCATTGATCATCCTTGAGATGTTTTTACAACTTGCTTGGAGTCCACCTGTGGTAAATTCAATTGATTGGACATGATTTGGAAAGGCACACACCTGTCTATATAAGGTCCCACAGTTGACAGTGCATGTCAGAGCAAAAACCAAGCCATGAGGTTGAAGGAATTGTCCGTAGAGCTCCGAGACAGGATCGTGTGGAGGCACAGATCTGGGGAAGGGTACCAGAAAATGTCTGCAGCATTGAAGTCCCCAAGAACACAGTGGCCTCCATCATTCTTAAATGGAAGAAGTTTGGAACCACCAAGACTCTTCCTAGAGCTGGTCGCCTGGCCAAGCTGAGCAATCGGGGGAGAATCGCCTTGGTCAGGGAGGTGACCAAGAACCCGATGGTCACTCTGACAGAGCTCCTGAGTTCCTCTGTGGAGATGGGAGAACCTTACAGAAGGACAACCATCTCTGCAGCACTCCACCAATCAGGCCTTTATGGTAGAGTGGCCGAACGGAAGCCACTCCTCAGTAAAAGGCACTTGACAGCCCACATGGAGTTTGTCAAAAGGCACCTAAAGACTCTCAGACCATGAGAAACAAGATTCTCTGTTCTGAATGCCAAGCGTCACGTCTGGAGGAAACCTGGCACCATCTCTACGATGAAGCATGGTGGTGGCAGCATCATACGGTGGGGATGTTTTTCAACGGCAGGGACTAGGAGACTAGTCAGGATCAAGGGAAAGATGAAAGGAGCAAAGTACAGAGAGATCCTTGATGAAAACCTGCTCCAGAGTGCTCAGGACCTCAGACTGGGGCGAAGGTTCAGGTTTGTCGTTATGGGGTATTGTGTGTAGATTGATGAGGAAAAAACCCAATTTAATCAATTTTAGAATAAGGCTGTAACGTAACAAAATGTGGAAAAAGTCAATGGGTCTGAATACTTTCCGAATGCACTGTATGTCCTATTATTACAAGGCATATTGAACATATTGTACCTTGAACAATAAACCCCTTTTCCTTCACATGTAACTTTAGGTAATGTATGTTCATATTTGGCAGAATCCCCATTTAAGCCATTTGAGGGGGACGAAACCACATATTATATGATAGAGGGGGAGACCCTTAGTTTGCCAGCCTTCCATGACCTGAGTGAGTTGGATTGGGGTAGTCTGACTGAGTTTACCTGGTACAGAAACGGAACCCAGGAGCTCCTGTCCTCTGAGGAAGAGCGTGTGCATCATCATGGACTGGTGCTCTTCTTCCTCCCACTGGCAATCAACGACTCTGGTCAGTACTACTCAGTACTGTGTGGGTGTATATTTTTGATAGCCTGTACACTGTAGATATTTATCTATGCTCCAGGAGGAAGGCAGCAGACACCTGTCTCATGTTTGTGATTGTGGTCAAAGCCCAACCGTTCAGCGATATCTCATAGTCAGCAGATAGCATCGCTATCCCATGTCCTGACTGCATGGAACAATTGTGCCAGAATGGGAAAGGACATTTGACCTGGTATAAGGTACTGAACATGACCGGAATGCTAACACAAACCTCAATCCTGCAAGACTATGTACCATTGGTTCTCAACTCCTGTCCTAAAGCTCCTAAGGGTTGAACATGTTTTGTTCTAGCCCAGTACTAACACCCAACTCATCATCAAGCTCTTGATTAGTGGAATCAGGTGTCTTACTACTACTTGAGTATAAAACGTTTGTCTGCTGTTTTGTCTTTAATTTCAGAATTTCAGTCTCATTACAAACGAGAGTAAGAATGATGTGTGCGGACAGCGCTTCCAAAGCAGATGAGGGCATCTATGCGTATATGTGCACGTGGGAGCACAGTGGGAGGGTCCTCAACACGTCTGCATTCAGGAGACTGAAGGTCCAAGGTAAGTAGGCTGTGGCTTGATGACAGCTCTGTCAATCTGCTCAGCATTTGATTTATTTGATTGAATCTTTATTGAGATAAAGAGACCTCATCCAAGATAGCAGCAGGGTCAGCAATTTTACAAATAAAATCAAAAACGTGGAAACACAAACAGTACATTAGGCTACATTTCACATTTAAAACGAACAGGATCAAAAGTTAGACCAAAACTAACCCTCATATCACGAGTGGCCTTTGCAGCAACCAACTTTTTGAAAGTATCCAAATGTATCTTTCTGACTAAACTGTGTGTTTGTCTCCTTCAGCTCCCTATACCACTCCTCCTCCTCAGCTCAACCTGCCTAGAGACTGAAGCACAGAGACCACTGACCTGTGTAGGGATCACACCTGGCTTAAATACTTTCAAATACTTGTGTTGTGCTTGATTTGGTCTGCCCGGTATATCTCTGTCTTCACAGTATCTCTCGTTCTTCATAGGCACCACTAAGAAGTTGAAGTTTGAAGTGTTTTGTGGGCAGAACATCGAAGACAACTGTCACCTGTGGTGGGAGATGAATGGAGAGAAAGTGTGCTCGCAGCAGCAAGTCTACTGAGTGAAATTGAATAGGTACACACATACATGCACTCACATATTGATGCACACACACAAGCACACGCGCACACACTTGTTTTTTAGAACAAGGCAACAGAGTTGACACACTTCCTTGAAACAAGACCTCAGATTCACTATTGATAATTCACTAATGTGTGAATGTTCTGTGTATATTTGTTACTGTAGCGAGGTGGAGATATCTCAAAGGCGGAGTGTCTTCATGGCTATCTTGACCATAGACACAGTGACTATGATGGACCACCAGTCACAGTTCAAGTGTGTGGCCATGAACGACCAGAAATGGATATCTGCAGTGGTGTCTCTCAAGCCAAAAGGTTAGTGGAAACACATATGTGCACCTCAACCTGCGCACATAGGCTACACACACGTCACACAAACACACTCAGACACTCATCCACATATCACACAAACAAGCATGGACACACAAAATCATACATATGCACTCATTCTCTCTCTTTCTCTAACTTTGTTAGTGTTGTGTCTTCCTCCCACAGAGTCTATGTTGATGGTGGGTGTATGTGTGGTCTGCTGCTCTTCCTCTTGTTGGCTGCTGTGGTCGTCAAGGCGTTTGCCATTGATCTGGCTCTCCTCTTCAGTGGGGTTTTCAAACACTATGGTTGTTCTGAGGGTAAGAATATTTAGTCCAATAGTGGAGAACAATTGGAGGGTTACTTACTATCAATGCAAATATCATGGTACAGCTATATGGACACTCAATCACTATGGTTTTTGTATTGGTAAATTTACAAACATATATTATGATAAATAGATTTGAAACTTGTATCTCATTATGGTAAGTGGTGAAATAAGTATAGCCAGTTATAATTGTAATGGCTTAGCAGATAATAACAAAAGAAGAAGAATATTTACATGGCTCAAAGAGAAGGAATATAATATCTATTGTTTACAGGAAACTCATTGAACAATTCTAGATGAAGTTCTAGATGAAGGACTGGGGGGGTGAAACATACTTCTCCCATGGGCAAAGAAACTCAAAAGGGGTGATGATATTAATTAACAGTAATTTCGATCTGAATGTGCAAATTGTCCAAACAGATCCGCAAGGTAGATGGATGATTTTAAATATGATATTGCACCATAAACAGATATGGCTCATTAACCTTTACGGACCAAATAATGATGATCCACACTTCTTTGACAATATATATTATAAATTATCAACCCTGCAAGCAATACAAGACTCTATTATTATGGTGGGAGATGATAATACTGTTTTAAATAGCTCAATGAACCGTAAAGGAAATCACACTACAAACTATCACCCTCATGCTCTTAAGGAAATCATGAATGTCATGGATACATTAGAACTAGTAGATATATGAAGGCTTAAATATCCTGACCTAGTGAAATATACAGTTGAAGTCGGAAGTTTACATACACCTTAGCCAAATACATTTAAACTCACTTTTTCACAATTTCTGACATTTAATCCTAGTAAAAATTCCCTGTCTTAGGTCAGTTAGGATCACCACTTTATTTTAAGAATGTGAAATGTCAGAATAATAGTAGAGAGAATTATTTATTTCAGCTTTTATTTCTTTCATCACATTCCCAGTGGGTCAGAAGTTTACATACACTCAATTACTATTTGGTAGCATTGCCTTTAAATTGTGTAACTTGGGTCAAACATTTCAGGTAGCCTTCCACAAGCTTCCCAGGTTTGTAGGCCTCCTTGCTCGCACATGCTTTTTCAGTTCTGCCCACAAATGTTCTATAGGATTGAGGTCAGGGCTTTGTGATGGCCACTCCAATACATTGACTTTGTTGTTCTTAAGCCATTTTGCCACAACTTTGGAAGTATGCTTGGGGTCATTGTCCATTTGGAAGACCCATTTGCAACCAAGCTTTAACTTCCTGACTGATGTCTTGAGATGTTGCTTCAATATATCCACATAATTTTCCTTCCTCATGACGCCATGTATTTTGTGAAGTGCACCAGTCCCTCCTGCAGCAAAGCAACCCCACAGCATGATGCTGCCACCCCTGTGCTTCACGGTTGGGATGGTGTTCTTTGGCTTGCAAGCCACCCCCTTTTTCCACCAAACATAACGATGGTCATTATGGCCAAACAGTTCTATTTTTGTTTCATCGGACCAGAGGACATTTCTCCAAAAAGTACGATCTTTGTTCTCATGTGCAGTTGCAAACCATAGTCTGGCTTTTCTATGGCGGTTTTGGAGCAATGACTTCTTTCTTGCTGAGCGGCCTTTCAGGTTATGTCAATATAGGACTCGTTTTACTGTGGATATAGATACTTTTGTACCTGTTTCCTCCAGCATCTTCACAAGGTCCTTTGCTGTTGTTCTGGGATTGATTTGCACTTTTCGCACCAAAGTATGTTCATCTCTAGGAGACAGAACGCGTCTCCTTCCTGAGCGGTATGACGGCTGCGTGGTCCCATGGTGTTTATACTTGTGTACTATTGTTTGTACAGATGAACGTGGTACCTTCAGGCGTTTGGAAATTGCTCCCAAGGATGAACAAGACTTGTGGAGGTCTACAATTTTTTTCTGAGGTCTTGGCTGATTTCTTTAGATTTTCCCATGATGTCAAGCAAAGAGGCACAGAGTTTGAAGGTAGGCCTTGAAATACAATCACAGGTACACCTCCAATTGACTCAAATGATGTCAATTAGCCTATCAGAAGCTTCTAAAGCCATGACATCATTTTCTGGAATTTTCCAAGCTGTTTAAAGGCACAGTCAACTTAGTGTATGTAAACTTCTGACCCACTGGAATTGTGATACAGTGAATTATAAGTTAAATAATCTGTCTGTAAACAATTGTTGGAAAAATTACTTGTGTCATGCACAAAGTAGATGTCCTAACCGACTTGCCAAAACTATAGTTTGTTAACAAGAAATTTGTGGAGTGGTTGAAAAACAACTTTTAATGACTCCAACCTAAGTGTATGTAAACTTCCGACTTCAACTGTACATGGCGGAGACTCAATCAAGCTAGTCGTCTTGACTTCTATCTTATGTCATTCTCGTTGGCACCAAATGTTTAAAAAGTGTTGATAGGGGACAGAATGCGGTCAGACTATCATATAATTGGCATATACATTACTCTTACTGAATTTTCACGTGGGCGAGGATATTGGAAATGTAATCAAAGCCTATTGGATGATAACTTGTTTTTAACTAGGACTGAGGAATTTATAACTGATTTTTTCCGACAAAACACAGCAAATCCCCTTATTGTATGGGACACTTTTAAATGTGCCTTTAGAGGCCATGCAATTCAGAACTCATCTTAAAAACAAAAGAAATGAAGAGTCCATACTAACAAAGTAAATAGAAGGTCTAACAGAACAGATAGATAGCAATAAAAACTGTAACATAGAGGCTCAGAATAAATTAGAGGAAAAACAAAAAGAAATTGAGAAACTTATTCAAGAAAGATCAAGTGTAATATATTATAAAAAATTAAGCAAACTGGATGGAATATGGGGAAAAATTCACCAAATTATTTTTAAATCTTCAACATAGAAATGCTACCAAAAAGAATTTACGGAAACTGGTTACAAATGACGGAGTCACCCATGATTCACCAAATTATATTTTGAAGGAGGAAGCAAAGTAGTTTTAGTTTCAGTTGCCTTAATCTCCTCTAACTGAAGCTAATTGTAGGGATTTTTTTCTATTGATAATGTAAAATTAACAGCCATACAGAAAGACTCATGTGAAGGTGAAATTACAGAGCAATTAAAGACTTTAAGTCCGGGAAAACTCCAGTGTTGGATAGCATACCAGTCGAGGTATACCAAACATTTTTTGATATACTCAGAGGACCGTTATTAGCATGTTTTAACCACTCCTATGTAAATGGTAGATTATCTGACACTCAAGAAGAAGGTCGGATTTCATTATTACTGAAACAGGATAGGCCCCCTCACAAAAAAATCTTACCTTATGAAAAATCTGGGAAACCAGGCCTGCTATTCATAGCAGACTTTGAAAAGGCATTTGATAAAGTACGACTGGAGTTTATATATAAATGCCTGGAGCATTTCAATTTTGGAGAATCTCTTATAAAATGGGTTAAAATCATGTATAGTAACCCTAGGTATAAAATAGTAAATAATGGCTATTTCTCCGAAAGTTTTAAACTGTCAAGAGGAGTAAAACAAGGTTGTCCACTATCGGCATATCTATTTATTATGGCCATCGAAATGTTCGTTATTAAAATCAGATCCAACAATAATATCAAGGGATTAGAAATCCAGGGCTTAAAAACAAAGGTGTCATTGTACGCTGATGATTCATGTTTTCTTTTAAATCCACAACTTGAATCTCTCCACAGTCTCATAGAGGATCTAGATACATTTTCTAACCGCTCTGGATTACAACCAAATTATGATAAATGTACTATATTACGTATTGGATCACAAAAAAATACAATCTTTACTTTACCATGTAGTTTACCAATAAAACGGTCTGATGGTGATGTGGATATACTCGGAATACATATCCCAAATGAAATAAATTATCTCACTCCAATAAATCTTTATAGAAAGTTAGCAAAAATAGATAAGATCTTGCTACCATGGAAAGGTGAATACCTGTCTATTTGTGGAAAAATCACCCTGATTAACTCTTTAGTATTATCCCAGTTTACGGATTTGCTTATGGTCTTGCCTACGCCTAGCGAACAGTTTTTTTAATTATATGAGAAAAAAAGATTACATTTTATTTGGAACGGCAAGCCAGACCAAAAAAATATTAAATTTGTAGCTTGTTTTTGGTCACAGGTCCAGGAATGGCTGAAGGATTGCAATATTTACCTGGAGCTAACCCTGCAGATACAGTAGCCCTACTGGGTGATCTGAAAAGTCATAGTCAATCGATCAATAATATAATAATACTTTTAGCAAAAAAAAATATTTTCAATTTACAATCTGTAGGAACAATGAGAATAGAAGGGTTCAGAACTTTTGTGAAACATCACAGTACAGTTGAAAAGCATATGGCAAATAGAAATCCAATATGGATGGTGTTAAGAGATAGATGGGAGGTGTTGAATGGAGCTGAAGGATGGGACTAATAACAACTAACAACAACTAATAACAACAAGATAACTAATGTAAAGCATACTGTGTCCATAATAAGTATATAGGTTATAAGTTGAGAGCTTTTGTGAAAGAGCACAGTTAGAAATATATGGCATATAGAAGCAAACCGGATGGACATCATGAAAATGATCGGAGAGGTTGAGGAAGTTCAGGAGTAAAAACAAACAAAATAGAATTATTGTAAATTTGACTGTGTCCATAAAATGTGTATAGTATGTATAAGCTGGAAGTAGAGGCCTAATATGTATGTATATGTATTTATATGTGTGTGTGTGTGTGTGTGTGTGTGTGTATTTGCGAGAGAAAAAAACCATGGAGGATTGGAAATGATGCAGACAATTACTACGATGGAAGTTACAATCTGCAATATTAAAGCTGATCTAACCCCCCCCCCCCCCCCTTCCAAAAATAAATAAATAAATAAAGATGATTTAGTCCACAAACTGAAGTTTACTGATGCTATTTTATATACACATTTCATTGTACATGAATGCTTATTCAGCCTATGTCGGTATAGTATTGGGAGCCATATAAAAATGTTACTACATGTAGTTCTAAGTTACACCACACGGAGGCACTCTAACCTTGTACTGTACAGTAAATGTCTCAGTCGGTCCCTCTCATTGTGCAATGCAGTAGTCTGCAGTAGGCTAATGCTTCGAACACACTGACTGTGTTGTTGCATTTTGGTACACAAGAAGTACATTTATTTCCAATGGAACGCTGCGTTTGCCTTGCAGCATTCCGTTGCAGAGGCAGTTGCAGTGCGTTCTGTGTGGTGCATACGTTGGATTTATCGAACATATGCGTCAAACTGTATGCGTAAACAAGTTGACAGAAATGGTAGCAGAAGGTGAATGTTGAACTTTTGTTGCACACATATCTAGATGATGCTGCATACTATTTTGCGCAATGAGGCAGTCGTGTGTTCAAAGCGTAAGTCTGCTCTTCTCAGCAGGTCCCATCTGGGGTCAATCCCACTGCTAGTGTAGAACAAATTGGCCATTTATAAAACAAAGAAAAACTATATTTCAGTTCAAATTTAATAAAATCTCTAGAATCCACTCTTTTCATGCTAAGGTTTGACAGAAACCTCCTCCTATGATGCTTACGTTGTCTACCAGATAGATGGTGTAGACAAAGGCATGGAGGAGAAAGTGTGTCAATTTGTGAGCAGCATTCTGCCCACTGTCCTGGAGCAGAAGTGTGGCTTCAGACTCTTCATCAACGGCAGAGACGACTTACCTGGAATAGGTTGGTTCATTTAGACAGTACCCTGCCCTTTAAGAGGAACATTTAGAAGTAATAAACAGTACTTAAGTAAAACATTAGCTTCTCCCGCTCTTCTGTTGTGTCCCCAGACTGCTTGGAGCTAGTGGAGGCCTGCATGTGGCTAAACAGGAGGCTGATGGTCATCCTGACCAAAGTTCCCTCAAAAATATGTAGGCACTGAGCAAATTTCAGGTCTGCTGAGCGCAAACTTGAACTTTGTGAAAATGTTGTGCAACTTCCAGGGCGCGTTTATTGTGAACACTGAGGCTGAACCCGCTTTAAGTTACAGTTTGAGACAGTGGTCAAGTAGGCTACTGTGGCTATTTGATCATAATGTAGGCCTACCAGAGTGGTCTACCATCAAAAACAATGGAGAAAATACATCCCATAACATTTTAACATGGAAATAGCTGTTCTATCATTCAGCCTACAGTAGCAGCCAATGTGTGGTGTTCAATGTAGGCGTACATTTCATGACACTTTTGAAAATAAACATGCAGGGCTTGACATTAACCTGTTTATCCACGTCCTTCAGACAAGGAGGTGACTGAAAATGTTGTTATGTTGTTTGATGCAAGAAACCACCTTTCAAAATAAAATCCAATATTCTTACCATACTGAGAATCAGACTAATTATGCTACCCTCTACCTATTGGCAACTTAGATTCAAGCCTGTCTCAAAATACAACACTTCCCCTTTAAGACAAATATGGCAATGGTCTATTTGCATATAGGCTATACTGTTTTGTTTTGGTATGGTGTATTGAAAGTGGCTAATATTGCGTTGATTCAATCACAATTGCCACAGTAAAGGGAAACATTGATAGTGTTAACAGGGAAAAACCTAGAACAGTGGTCACCAACCTTTTCTGAGTCAAGATCACTTTGAGTCAAAATGCAAGCCGAGATCTACCGCTCAGATTTGTTTTTACATGATTTAAAAAACGTAATCCTATTCAACATTAACAAATTAAAAGCAGTACTGTAGCAATGAGGTTTTTGCAGTAAGCGATAGGCCCAATACTTTATCACCGCATATTGGCTTTGCTTGAATTGCCCTGCCAATGCATTCTTGTTCCGGACATTTTTTAAAATTAGATTTCTGAATTTGAGGTAGTCTATATGATCACACTGGTAATAGATCCATTGTTGTATTACTTGTGAAGCACAGCTGAGTGAGCATACATTTATATAATTAGCTTTTTATTTTACTGGGCTGATGGTGCCTGCATCTGATGGTCAGTCTCAGCGGAGGGAGAGAGCAGCAGACTGAGTGTCCGCCTCTCAACATCCCTCCGCTCTCCCTTTCCTCCACTGACACTGACCAAAAAGGGACACCATCTTCCAGCTGATGGCGAAACTTGAGTCGCACCCATTATTTCTGCCTCATGCACAAATTAATATTGTTACTCCTATGAACAGAGAAAGTGAAATATTCATAGATATTAAAAATGACCCAAGCTAATAATAACAACAACACAAGCCTATAAATACACTTTCCTACTCATTCATTACTTTTGCAGTGCTTGTTGTAGCACTGAGTGGAAATAGGAAGAATGCGCATATTATGGCTTATAAAAGTGTTGAACACAAAGTGTTGACAGTGCTGAGTAAGAACTTAAACATGTTGTATTTGTTGTATTTGTTTACAGTCTCTCTCTAGTCAGGGTTTTAAACGTTTTGAAATCTCACAGTATCAACTTTGCCATAGCTTAGAGGGAACATTGATCCTGACCCCCAGCTCAAACTCAGGGTCAGGCTCAGGATCGGGAGGTCAAGGGTCAGGGGGCCAGTGGGGCTACTCATCCTCACTAACCCCAGCAGAAGACTATGACTGTCAGGTGGGGCTCCACCAGGCTCTGGTCCACAGTGCAATGAGTGTTCTCCTCATCCAGCTGGGGGATATGGGGGAGGGGGACTACACACACCTGCCCCCCCTGCCTGCAGCACCTATCCCGCAAGAGTGCCCCTTTAAGGTGGCAGAAGGGAAGGCGGGGGTCGACGCTGCCCAACTCGAGCTTCTGGAATAGGGTACGTTACATGATGCCACTCGACGAGTATTGACAACCCAGTTAATATGACTCTTCTATGAGAGCAATCAGAAGGTCTGAGGACTTGAAGGGCGGTTGGAGGTCTGGGATTCTGTTATAGAAGAGAACATGCCAAGTTATCTCTAAAAACTCCTTATATCAATGCTGTGTAGAGATGTGTCAGCTGCCATAATGACAAATTGACTGTAGAATAGGCTCTAAAAAGGTATCATAGGCTCTGAAAGTTCATTTACGACCTCTGAAAAACTTGCCTTTCCATTTACATAAGAAAAGGTGTTGACTATTAGAAAAAGAAAATGAAGACTAGATAGTCTACTGTATGTATGTTGCTTTTGAGTTTGTAAAGAGCTGCCTGTCATTTACTCACGCCATGGAATAAAGAGATTATATTATGTTTCTGTCAACCTGTGTGGATGGTTTGGTTAGTTGCTGTACTGAACCAGAGCCATCTAGACAAGATATGGCTCTGTCTCGACCCATGTGAGGCATCCGAGTTATTTGCGTTCATTTATGGATAGCCTGTCGGATAAATAGCATATTTAGTTGGGAAATAGAAATGTTCCAAGTGAATTTGACTTAGTGTATTCGGAAAGTATTCAGACCCCTTCACTTTTTACACATTTTGTTACATTACAGCCTTATTCTAAAATGGATTAAATAAATAGAAATCCTCAACAATTTACTCACAATACCCCATAATGACAAAAGTGAAAACAGGTTTTTAGATATTTTTGCAAATTTGTTAAAAATAAAAACAGAAATAGCTTATTTACATAAGTATTCAGCCCCTTTTCTATGAGACTCGAAATTGAGCTCAGGTGCATCCTGTTTCCATTGATCATCCTTGAGCTGTTTCTACAACTTGATTGGAGTCCACCTGTGGTAAATTCAATTGATTGGACATGATTTGAAAAGGCACACACCTGTCTATATAAGGTCCCACAGTTGACAGTGCATGTCAGAGCAAAAACCAAGCCATGAGGTCGAAGGAATTGTCCGTAGAGCTCAGAGACAGGATTGTGTTGAGGTACAGATCTGGGGAAGGGTACCAAAAATATTCTGCAGCATTGAAGGTCCCCAAGAACACAGTGGCCTCCATCATTCTTAAATGGAAGAAGTTTGGAACCACCAAGGCTCTTCCTAGAGCTGACCACCCGGCCAAACTGAGCAATCAGAGGGAAGGGCCTTGGTCAGGGAGGTGACCAAGAACCCGATGGTCACTCTGACAGAGTTCCAGAGTTCCTCTGTGGAGATGGGAGAATCTTCCAGAAGGACAACCATCCCTTCAGCACTCCACCAATCAGGCCTTTATGGTAGAGTGGCCAGACGGAAGCCACTCCTCAGTAAAAGGCACATGACAGCCCACTTCGAGTTTGCCAAAAGACACCTAAAGGAGAAACAAGATTCTCTGGTCTGATGAAACCAAGATTTTACTATTTGGCCTGAATGCCAAGCGTCACGTCTGGAGGAAACCTGCCACCATCCCTACGGTGAAGCATGGCGGTGGCAGCATCATGCTGTGGGGATGTTTTTCAGCGGCAGGGACTGGGAGACTAGTCAGGATCAAGGGAAAGATGAACGGAGCAAAGTACAGAGAGATCCTTGATGAAAACCTGCTCCAGAGCGCTCAGGGCCTCAGACTGGGGCAAAGGTTCATCTTCCAACAGGACAATGACCCTAAGCACACAGCCAAGACAACACAGGAGGGGCTTCGGGACAAGTCTCTGAATGTCCTTGAGTGGCCCAGCCAGAGCCCGGACTTGAACCCGATCGAACATCTCTGGAGAGACTTGAAAATAGCTGTGCAGCAACACTCTCCATCCAACCTGACGGAGCTTGAGAGGATCTGCAGGGAAGAGTGGGGGGGAAAAAACAAATACAGGTGTGCCAAGCTTGTAGCGTCATACCCAAGAAGACTCAAGGCTGTAATCGCTGCCAAAGGTGCTTCAACAAAGTACAGAGTAAAGGGTCTGAATACTTATGTAAATGTGATATTTTCATTTTTTTTTTTTATACATTTGCAAACATTTCTAAAAAACTGTTTTTGCTTTGTCATTAGGAGGTATTGTGTGTAGATTGATGAGGGGGAAAAAACGATTTAATCAATTTTAGAATAAGGCTGTAACGCAATAAAATGTGGAAAAAGTCAAGGGGTCTGAATACTTTCCAAATGCACTGTATCTGATGTCCTGAAGATATGAAAGCCACAGAATAAACTCGATGGGGAAAATGCAAGGACTATAAGTCTGGGCAGTCAGCATTACAGATGCCAGGTAGGCTAATTACGAAAGTGATTACCGCTGCCACAGAACATATCAATCAACATGATGAGTATGATCGATTAATGTTTGCTTCCCGTTTAACATTATTATTATTCTGCTCTTGCAACTCATTATGTTCCTAGTTGTGGAACACTAGCTAAAGAACACTGAAAATGTGTGTGTGTGTGTGTTTAAGAGCAGATGGTAATTATTACCGATGAGATCACTGAATGCAAGTAGCCACTTGGACTGACTGCTTGTTTGACCAGGTCCCCTATAATGGAGATTCCTTGTAAAATTAAATTTAAAAAAAGGAAAAATCTAACCAAAATGCTAAAACCCTTTTTCTTTCAAAACTTTTTGTCATTTGTAGTGTTTTACCACAAAAAAATATATAATTCATCAATTGTGTGTGAGGCTGCAAACTGCAAAGAGTTATTGTATTCAACTCATTGATTGATGACTGTTTTTTTAGATGGTTGTGTGCATTACGGGCAGTTTTGGATCGTTGAATCACAGCCAAAATCTGCTGAGGATTTCTGTTGAAAGATGTCGTCATCCAAACGTTCTATCCAAGTAGCATAAGTCTGGAACAGTTGTTTTATATCATCTCCACTCTCTCATCACCAACAACTTCTGCTTGAAAGATATCCCTTTCTCAGTCATCATGTAGCTCAGCTGGTAGAGCACGGCGCTTGTAACGCCAAGGTAGTGGGTTCGATCCCCGGGACCACCCATACACAAAAAGAATAATGTATGCACGCATGACTGTAAGTCGCTTTGGATAAAAGCGTCTACTAAATGGCATATTATTATTATTATTATTAAACATTGTGATGTCACGAGAGGCTGTGTCCTGGAGGGACGTTACATCCCCCTGAGATGGCTGCAAACCCAGACAGCTATGGCTCCATCTGCTGGTATGGTCGGGAACTCCACCCCTCTATGGCCAATCTTCCCACGCAGCTGAAACAAATCAGGAGCTGATGAGCTGAAGGTTTGTGAAGGGAAGAGACACACTGTGAGGGAGTGTGTGGGTGGTGAAGAAACACAGTCTCCAACCTGGGCTCTCTGGAGGACAAGAGGGCTGCACGTCCACTTCCAGGAGGAATATAAGGATTTGGAGATACTTACCTTTGGGAAATACTCACCTTTGGATATATGCACCTGTGGAAATACGTGAGAGACATTTGGAAGGACTTTTTGCTGGGTTGGCCACTAGCTGCAACGTGGACTACAGTAAGGCTGGGGAAAAGTTATCTGAGCAAGTGAGAATTATGATTTTGGATGTGGAAGAGACATCCCTGAACTGTTAACCCTTAAAGAGCCACAAGAGAACAGAATTTTGTTATATTTTCGTTAATTTCCCAAGACCTTTAATAAAATCCTTGTTTTGTTTGAACCTTGTCTCCTTGCACTACTTGAGCAATCCCGCTGAAAGCCGTGTAGCCTCTCGTGACGTCACAGATGGTGGAGAATACGGGCAAGCTCAAGCGTTAATAGTGCATGTCAGAGGAGGATACCGAAGGTTTGATCACCCAGTTTTCCAAGTTGGCCGTAGGCTCCCCGCCGACTGAAATGGAGGACATATTGAAAGCCCTTGTTGCTGGCCAGCAAGCCCAGATGCAAGCAACCGTGGCTCTCTTGGAGGAGCAAAAGAAAGCCAACTTTCTGAAGGCAGAGGAATTGCAGTTGCAGAGACAGAGGGTTGTCCAAAATACCCGCCCAATAAAGGCAAGTGACTTTATATCTAAGATGGGAGCTACTGATGACATTGAGGCATACCTGCATGCATTTGAGGCCACGGCCACTAGGGAAGCCTGGCCCAAGCAACAGTGGGTTGGTCTGTTAGCCCCCTTCCTAACCGGGGAATCGCTGAATGCTGTCCGGGACCTGGGCCCTGACCAGGTTACTGACTATGATGCCCTGAAGGCTGAGATCCTCAGCAGATATGGACTCACAAAGTTTGGTATGGCCCAGCGCTTTCACAGCTGGACCTTCCAACCAGACCAACCTCCTCGGGCGCAGATGCATGAACTTGTCCGAATCGCAAGGAAATGGCTGGATCCGCAGAGGAATACAGCAGCGGCGGTGGTGGAGGCCGTTGTGGTGGATCGTTACCTACGCGCCCTGCCTTATGAGGCAAAACGGTTCATCAGTCAACAGGCCTTGACCACGGCTGATCTGACCGTGGAAGCTGTGGAAAAGTACCAGGCCACAGCGGAGATGCTGAATGCTTCCCGAAAAGACCCCAGGAGTGCGGCCCCACCACAAATGGGAAGAACCCGTCCAAAGGACCCCAAGGTCTTGAACCCAGCCACGTCAGGACTTATCCCGGCTCCAGGGGGAGCCAGAAACCAGGCGGGTCCAAGAAGAGTACACCAGGAGGGGGAAACTCGACAGTGTTACCGGTGTGGGGAGATGGGACATATCTCCTGGCAGTGTGGGAAACCAGCCGATGAACCTATGCCCACTGCGGAGTCCTCCAGCTCAGCACCCACACACCGTTTTGCCTCGCTCTTGGGAGTCGTAGATGGCGGCCCAGATCGACCCCCCACCTGCCCGGTAACTGTGAATCACCATGATGTGGAGGCCTTACTGGATTCTGGTAGCCGGGCCACCCTGGTGCGTAAGGATTTGGTGGGCCCAACGTGTCTGACCCCGGGGAAAGTCCTCCCAGTTTCCTGTGTCCATGGAGACACCAGAGAATACCCCATT